AACCCAAATTAAAGGCATGTTTGGGTTATCTAGAGAACAATTAATAACTGTCATCTTTAATCAAACAAAGGTTTGAGTAGAAAAAAAAATTAATATACAGTTTAGTCTGTGACTGATGTATACAACACCTATTTATATAATATTTTATCTAAAAATATAAATTTAGTATTGCCTAACAATAAAAAATGACGCCTTACTACTAAAATTCAAGCTTTCAGCGACAATATATTAACAACATGGGATCCTTTGTTGTTGAAAATTTGTATCAGTAACAAGGTTTATGTTACTGAAAGTTGCATATACATTTTTTCCCTAAAAAGTTACTTCACTTTCAGTAACAAGGAGTACGTTACTGAAAGTAAATTTCAGCAACATATCCCATGTTGTTGTTGATATTTTTCGGTAACCATTTCCCCATCTAGTTGAGCTCCATTTTTAGCAAGATATCCTTTTGTTGCTGCCGTGACTTTCAGCAACAAGAGCTATGTCGCTGAAACTTTTCTAACCACACCTAAAGTATTAGCAACATATATCATGTTGTTGTTATTCTTATCTTTTTACCAACCAAACATTAGCAACATATCCCTTGTTGTTTATATTACCACTTTGATTAGTAGTTGGTCAAAGCCATTATATATATACCTTTAAATAAAGAGTTGAATCTAAGAACAAAGATTCGGCTCTCGAGCATTTAAGAGTCGACTATATATGATGAACATTCGACTCCCAAATTCCAGAAAGTTAAGAACGTTTTGAGTGTTGTGTATAGTCGACTCTCTTTAATGAGAGTCAACTCTTATTGGAAAAGAGTTTACTCTTATTTGAAAAGAGTCAACTCTTAATTTAAAAAGTCGACTATTGACAAAAAATTGTGATAACTTTATATGAAATGTCTATGTAGTTTTGTATGCATATTCACATTTTTTTAGATAAAATCAAGTTTTAAATTAGTTAAATATATTAATAAATAATGTAATTATATTAATTAATGTGTTAAGTGTTAAATAAAATTTAATAGATTAAACAAAATCAACTACTAAATTAAATGCTAGGTATAAAAATAAATTGTTTAAAGATTAAAAATTTATTAAAATAGGTTAAATAAATTTTTACCTTTGCTTTGCCTAATCAAATGTAAAAAGGCGAACCCACAAGCCGAGTTCTTTTCTTTTGCATGGATTTTGATTTGGTGATTGGTTGATTCTGTTTCAATTATTTTCTTTTGAGTTTTCACTTTTATTTCTTGCAATTTTTCTTGATTACATTTCTTTCTAAACTCAAACCTCTCTCTCCTTGCTT